AGCCGCCCGCCCGGCTTTTGCCAATCCTTGGGTGGTCTGCACGCTGTGGAGCATTTCCGTCAGCTTGTTCTCCCTGACCGAGTAGTATGGACGTCACCCGGACCTATTTCTTCTCAGTGCTACCTGGTGCGATTTAGTCCCACCCTAAAATGTGAGACTGTTTATCGTCTGTGCTATGTTCAAGCTGTCCTGCCGTGACAAACGGGGCTAACTGGGTGACGTTTGCGCTAAGTGGCGCATTTAATGAAATACTAACTGGAATCCTGAACTGTGGTCTCAATTAGGATGGGACTACGTAGATGACGTTGTAGTACTATCAATCAGCACAATCCCAGGGTATTTCAGTCACACCAGGGCGCCAGTCCTCGTCAGATCACTCGTCAATAATGGCAACCTAACCGGTATGTTCTTTCACCTTTCATCGATGCCCTTAGAAGTACAATTATATCTCCTGTGCTCCTTTTGTACTGAGTTACGTCTTCTTGACGTCTTCTAAACGAAGAATTACTATCTTTTGGTTCCAAAAAGGTTACAATAAAAATATTTTAGGACCGCGGAATGCTTATTCAAGAAGCCTCTTAGTTATGTCTCTGTGGCACTCATGACGCGAGATCCGAGTCACCCCTATCACCCATCGTGCGGAGGGATCAGGTCGGGTCGCACGTGCAGACAGGTTTTTGGCTCTGTCGGCCAGCACGTCCGAGCCCATCTCCAGTCGTCTCACAATCGAAACCTCGTAGGCGAGAGAGAAAAGTGCAGTATATGCTGCGCATGTCTGCCTCACTATAAACGAATTCGCGCCCAACTCACTGGTGCTTCGCCTCTTCCGTGGAGCACACGGTGCATGTCGTCGCTCGCGACGGTCGGACTTACACTAAGGCAACTTTCGAAGTACTCAGCGTTGTCCATTTCTTTTGGAAAATGTTACTACCGGTATGTGACTCTTCTTCAGTAGCGTAGGAAAGTATGTGATTTCTCGTAAGTGGACCGCACACAGCTTGTAGTTTGGATTTCTCAGGGACAAGCGCAACGGCTTATAGGGTTCAAAATATCGGAAATTGAAAAACATGTCCGAAATTGGATGCCAGACTTGCGTAGAGTACAAAATCCGGAGGATACGTAATCCGCTACGAAATGAGTACAAGGAGAAATATTCTTGTGCATGATTCCCATTGCATAACTGGGCTTATAAAGGTATCAGAAATCATTGGAAAAATATAGTATGTCACTACCTAGTCGCTTTTGGCTAGTGATTTTTTCGGGCGGTCAGAAAGACGCGCATTTTAAGACCAACATTCTGATTTGACTGAAGCGCAGCGGCCGGCCTATCGCATGAAATGTTAACCGGAATCCCAAAAGGTGTTTTTGAATAGATTACTTAGGTGGGCCTATAGTATTGCTTATTGTGCAGTATAATCCCACAATATTTCAGTCACGTCAGGGTACCGGCCTCTGAGCTTCCTTTCGGTCGTCTGAAAAACCCACAATCTGTGAAGTAAATAGCTATCTACATAGGGGGATTTTTCACATTGAGTTCTGTCGCCCTTGTGAATCCAAATATGCTTTACAGAAACTATAAATCGAAATATTTCTTCTTGTACTCATTTTGTAGCAAATTACGTCTTCTCTAAATTCGTTTGCACGAAGATAAGACAAATTTTGGTTTCAAACGACTTTTCCAACTGTCAAGCAATTTTGAACGCGACCTGCAGTTGCACTTAAGGTTTCCAGAATACGTGCTGTATTTTCTCTGTGTAAGGAAAATCGTATATTTCTATGCATCTTTAAGAAGATGTCGTGCAGGACTCGGTAAATATGAGAATGGATCTGAACCATGTTTTGTACTTCACAAGCAACATTACTAGCAAAAGCTACGGTGCTGTATGAATGGCATTTCGCGGTCTTGAAAATCGTACTACCTAAGTAGTCATTTTTTACTGAGTGTAGTTGTTGCATGCGGCCGGAAAAAAACCCGTTAAAAACCCGACGTCCTGGCCTGACTGAAATATCGTGGAATTATGCCGCAGGGTAATCAATATTACAAAGCCACCTACATAATGCCTTCAAATGGCGAACACATATCAGGATTTTGGCTAAGATTTCGTGAGACTCGACAACCACTATATCTTAGGATTATGCCACATAGTAATTAATTACTTGTCATGCAGTAAAGAAAAAAAAGCTTGGCGAGTGCTCTCATGGCTTCTTCCCAGCCTACCGTGTCAACTGACAACGTGAGACGGGGCTGGTCGTTACATTTGCATGTTTGGTACAGAGCTATGGAACTGAAGTGTTCTGATATCATTCTACAGACTGAATTCTCATTTCTGCCTAGGGTATTGGCCCTAAGTCGGTCTGGTTTGACCTCTGCGACTGGAGCAAGACTAGATGTCTTTGTTGCCGTTAGGCTGTAGGGTGAAGAGAGAGTGCAGTAGACGCTGCGCAAGTCTGCACTCACTATAGACTGAGTCACGCGCATACCACCTTCCCTGCTCTCAGCCTGCTGTGTAGCACGCGGCAGACATCGTTGGCAACGACGGTCGAACTGTCGGTTGTTACCGCCCTGCCTGACGCTGTCTTTGACTAAAGCCGTTTTGATTTCACTTCGTCTTCTTTGTGTCTACTCGCACCGCTTCCGTTATCAATCTCCTTTGGATGTAGGATTTTGCAAAAATGTGTTACCATGACAGGCAGTTGGGTAACGGATGGAAAACGCATAGTAGCCTGGTGGAGTGCCTGGGAAGCTATATTTTGTTGTATTAAGTATACTGCAGCAATTCTTAACGCACCTCTTATTGCTTCACATGACCAGGTAACTTCCTTCCTGGGGACATTAGTGGTTTCCAAACAGAAATTATATTTCGATGTAAATATAGCACTCCCACTGTTATGTCGCGCTTTGGCCCATGTACTGCCTCCACTAAACTGCGTTCTGTGGTGTGGCCTATTCTGAAGAAAGTTGTTTTGATTCTCTGCCGTTCTAGTATCCCTAGTACGAAAACAGAATGTCTCCGAGTAATTCAACAAAAAGCTTCATTTGTACCAGTTTCCTGATATGAGTTCCATAAAGGGACTAGAGATAGGGTAAGTGCAAGCAGTTGTCCTACGTTTTACTTTGTAACCACAATTAAATTTTTTTCTAGCACGCCATGGATCCATCGCATATGCATTAAAGATACGGGCTTTTTATTTCCGACAATCAGCTATCGGATCATCGCACTTTTGGTTCAAGAGCGGCCCTGGGCAATATCAACACCCTCATGGTGATATAAGGGACACTAAATCCTGCTCAAGTCCTGCTTTTGACTTAAAAAGCCCTGAAATTAACGTCGTAACGAAAAAAGAAATTCAAGACACTGTATACTTTTCTAATCGTCGATCTTTCTGTGTCTTCGTTTGTGTTCTAGGTCTTATGTCTTCTCTGTTTTTCCACATCATTCTTTTGAACTCTCCTCCCGATCCTTTGTGGATCTTTTTTGCCTTCTTGCGGAAAACTGCCGTACCTCTTAGGAATTAATTTTGAGGCATTTCTATGGCTCTGTTACTCCCCCGTCGCTATTTTAGGACCACGATTATGGTCTTAACTAATTGTACGAAACAGTGACAGTTTTGACAGTAAAATTATAAAGACCCAGTGAGGAGAGATAGGTGAATTTGGATTATCTACAATCGGTCTACCGCACGCTGGCAACTTTTTGATTTAGTTGGCAATTCCAGTTTTTACGAACAACGTGCCAAACTTTGTTCATACGCACAACTGCTATGCAACGTATTGCTGGAAAGCGGATTATTGTTTTTCTGACTGGCCAGTCCCATGAGTTCTAAGAGCTCTGCTTTTAGTGGCAAATGGACAACAACATCCCAGTCAAGGGCGCCTTGTGTGACGCTAATAGCAGCGACATTCGGGATGTGACACTTCGTCGTAAAACTCCTCAGATTTCCTTCTTCTTTAATAAGTCTGGTCAGATACAGTTGCACACACTTGATATCCTTCCACTTCAACAACCGAAATTTTTTTTCATATAAGAGTGTGGAAAATAGAGAAGTTGGACAACGAAGAAACATGTGCTTCTAGGCGGGATCACATCGTCGTACTTCCGACTTCGCGGCATGTACTTGATTTGCTGAGCCGTCAAAACCATGCCTGTCATCTATGCAAGTGGACAAATTTGTTTTTATCCTACCGTAGGTATTTACGTTTTCGGTGTCATTGGACTATTTTGAGGCTTCAGCCACGGTTATCTGACCGATAAAGATTTAGCCCCTCAAAAGCCTATGAAGGCGCTTAGTTAAATTGCAATTTCATTGGGTCGGCACTAACGCGCATGACAGGGGTTTCCCTGGGGGAAATTAGAACACTTTCAACTGACGCACATATTCACCTGTCCAAGGTGGATTTGCTTTGGCTGTTCGCCGTCAATGCGTCCTAGAGCAGCTTTGGTTTTGGGGGCGGTGGATCCCACTAAAAGCCATTTACAATCGGGAGGCGTTAAAATCAATACTTGGACTTGTTCGAGCACAGCAAAGACATCATCCACATATCACGTCCAAAATGTCGGCCCGCCGACATCTGGCTTCCTTATAGGAGTCGCGTTAACGAGTCCATGTTACAGACTCGTAGAGAATAAGGTCTGCCTGTTGTAAACAAAACAGCCACCACTTACAACCAATATATCACGAATCCATGTCATGAATTACATGCAGCAGCAGCAGCAGCAGCAGCAGCAGCAGCAGCAGCAGCAGCAGCAGCAGCAGCAGCAGCAGCA